AAAGACGGCCTCTGCAAGACAGCCATGGAGAAACTCCCCGGAAAAGCCTGGGCACATCAAACCCCCGAGTCGTTACTGGGGATCATGCGTGGCCTGATCCGCAAGTTGGAGTTCGAGGGACACGACTTTGCGGTGAGTATCCTTCCACTTGACCCAAGACGTACTGGCCTCTTCCTGTTGATTCTGAGCGTCGCATCTCATCCTGACGTGTCGTCCTCGCACAGGAAACACCCATCTTTGTCAACATCCTGCACCAAATCTACTCTCGATACGGTCTCGAACCATTCGAACGCGCAAGCCACCTCTCAGATTTCGAAATCATCTTTTACTTTCTCCACCGCCGTCTGAGCAAAAAACCTGAAAAATTCCAGTCCGCGCACGAGTGGTTACCATTGCTCAAAAAGTATCGCAACGTGCCCGGCGCGACGCGGAAACGGCATGGGTGGATGATTCTGACCATATCGGGTCGGTGGGATCTGTTGGCGATGTGTGGGTGTGGGTGTGGGTATGCGGAGTGTCCAGAGACGAGCGCCTTGTTGAGGCTCAAGGAGGCCCGCGTTCGCGGGAAAAGAGATCCTGTTGTCGAGGATCGGTTGTTCCAATGGGGAGGGGCGAGTAAAGCGTGTGCTCGGTGAGTTCGGATGTGGATGCCAACGTCCACTGGTGCTTATCTGTACCTACAATTTATGCGCATTTTAGGTGCAAGGCAGCCTCTTACTGTGGGGCAGCTTGCCAAAAAGCAGATTGGAAGAGGCACAAGTCCGAGTGCGCAGCTGAAGCGGCAAAGAACAAGAACGAGGAAATTTAACACTTCTCAAGGACGTGATCGTATATCCAATATACCTAGTGAACATTACATACTTCATGCTATAGCCCATGTATCAATTGATATAGTTCCTTTACGTTGGATGAGCAAGTCTTGTACTCTATCATTGTTCGTTGTCCCTAACCATAACGCAGGGGTAATATGTTCTGCGCATACAAAGGAGGCTACGAATAAATATTAAGCTGCATACATGTTTACAAGGAGGAATCGTCCGAACAGATTGCCAGCAATAGAGTGAAAAGTAGGTATCCCTGATCAGGCTCATACTCTTGACGCATCCCGGTCCTCCACCCAATGGGTCGGCATCGGTATGCTCGGGCCATCATAGTCAGAAAACGGATCGCTCGCCTTTGCATCCTTGTCCATCCCAGTCGAGAGATATGACCCGCGCTTGTATTCTGGTGGCTTGTTATCGGTGGGAGGAGGGCCAGGTGGTGGTGAGTAGACTGGGGTGTAAGAACTCCCATCATACGGTGGATTGTAGTGAGTGGGATAGCCATCCTGGCGTGCCGAATCGGATGGTAAGCGAGACGCGTTGGCGGGGCTAGTGGGGTCAAGCACTTGTCGGTAATACGCGAATGCGATGGCAGTGAATGCCAATCCAAAGACTGGTCCGAGGATGAGAACATGGTGCATGTCAAATAAAGCACTACTTACGGATCCCGAAAATAACGGCTACGATCTCCACCCCGGAATCGTGGTTCCACTCATCCTTACAGACTAGCATGTGTTACATTATTGGCAGGGATAAGTACATATCAGAGACTTACATTGCGCAGCCTCAGCTGCGTTGAGACTAGTCGGCGGATTTGAACCCCAAATCCCAAATACCTGGCAAGGAGTGTATCAGCCACAGCGAGTACAAGTAGCCTCGAACACGGACCGAGTTAATGGATCCAGTTTGTGCAAGGATTGTGCACTCTGTGAGCCAATCAGACTACCGTGATGGTGAGCGACAACGGCGTATCGACGAGGGTCCACATGCCTTGTATACAAAGTGGGTAACGACCCTCATGAGTCCGACTCCAGCCACTAGCAGCGTACTCATTGCACATAGGAATGCGTATGTCTTGACCAGCGTAAATCGTTGCTAGACCGCCAAGTCAAGACAGAACGTCCCTGATAAGTCGTGGTGGAACCTACCAGTACCGCAGCCACGATCCCAAACGTTTGGAATGCACATGCGACTGCATACATCACTCCTTGCGCAATCGCCAATGGAGCAAGCTTCGGCAAGTCATCTGAAACAAACAAGTGTCCATTCACGAGCACGTGGGTTCAATGTGCAACCTTACCATTGTCAGCAAGTTTCAGTGACTTGAAAGATGACACCTAGAGATAGATCTCTGGTCAAGACGGAGACAATGAGTGCAACACATCTATGACGTACGGTCCTGAAATGAAATTACAATGTTGAGCGTTTGGTTCCGTTCAGGTGGCTACAAATGGCAGATGCTTACCATGCTAGAGCCCACAGGGCCGTGATAACGGATACTATATAGTGGACGATGAGTATATATCTTCGTAAACACAGACGGTGCGACGTACTTGCAACGACGACGGGCCTCAGATTCCTCCCGTAGACCCGCGAAACATAGCGATACGCAGGTGGTGCGTCTACCACGGACCGATTATAGTCAGACCACGGAGCAACACTTTGCAGCACTCACCGGTTGGCGGATTTCTCTTGAAGGACATCTTTCAACGACTGCAAGTAACGGAAAATGTGACCAGCAACGTTGGTGAAACAGATGAAGAGGTGACCCCCTGCAGACCCGCAGCTTAGTCACTAAGGGCAGGGCAGCACAGGATTTTCGACGTCATTATTCCCACGCCATCAGACCCTAACCTCGAAATACTTGTCCAAGAAAATTAAATAATAAAAGTCTAATATTCAAGCATGTAGCATGGATTTTTTGAGATCTAGAGAGGGCCTCGTCACGTCGAAAAGATGCCGACGACCTTGAACGAAGGAACCGCCTGTCCTTCCTCGCCCAACAGCTGGCAGTCTACAAAGTGACTTCCCCGCGTCACAAAATGATCAATGATTTCGAGCCTACCAAACCACCACAATGTAAGCACGCACAGCAAAAGAAACGAAAAAGACACGTACGTGGGCACAGGCTCGATGATATTCCCAGCATTCTCGACAATCACAGCCCCTCTCACGTTATCGTCCACCCAACACTGCAACTGGCTTCCCTCTCCAATTTCCTCGATCGGTTCTTTCACGTAATATATCCCCACGTCGCCCGCACTAACCTTGATCGGCACACGCAATATACTGAGAGGCATCCAACTATGCCAATAATATTCGGCAGTCAACAAGGGCGAGGTACCCTGCTCAGGATGGCGCACGTGCCATCCTGAGCCATGGAACAACGACGGCGGTACGGGGTTCACTAGATCGTTGGCAGAGGCGCAGTACGGCGCGGGCTCCTCAAACGGAAGAGGATCGCCTGGTCGTGTATTGATACGGGTAGGTGGGATGCGTAGTTGGGGGTAGAGAGGGACAGGTTGGGTATCAGCAGCGGGGGCTTGTGCAGGTTTCTTTTCCGGGTCGGCAGCCTTGGGCGGATCAGGGGGTGCTCCACCTACCCGGGCACCTACACCACCAAAAAGATGGGTATCTCCATTGTGACCTGGAGAGAGCACAAGGGGAACCGTCTCATAGGAATGGCCACCAGCCGTTGCCCATGCAGCGCAAACTTGAGATTGGAAGTAAGACATGAGAACGTCTGCGAGGAGGACGTGGCCATCTGCGTTGGCGAGGACAAGGTCGGCATAGTACGGCTTGATAAGGTCGGGGTCGGCCATGTACGTAGGGTATAAAATGGGTTTCACGCTATCAAAACATAACTATGGAGTTTTCCAAACCTGCGACAAAGGAACACACCTGATATGGGGAACGTCATAGAATTGCGCGACGATGTTGTGCCAATGGTCTGCTCCAGCAAAACCATATAGTTCATGGGTTTGCGGGCTAAAGTGGCCGAGGATGACGACAGCGGGTTGTTCGGGTCTATCGAGCAACGAGCGAACGAGAAGTTCAAAGTACTCCAAGTTCTTCTGGTCGCTGAGGAAAGACGGATAAGAAACGCATGCATGAATGGCACTTGACGTGTCACTTACGCTGGATCATCGACGTCAAACTCGACGATCACGAGGTCGGTGCTCTCAGGAACATGATGTGCACTGCAAAAACCAAAGTACCCTGAGTCCGTCCGCCGCATAGCCCCATTGGTGAGCTCCGAAGCAGGGTGTGGAAACACGCTCAACCACCACTGGAAAAAGAGGGAGGGATAACACTCGGGGGATAATGGGTCATCACCAGCACCATGACATGCCGACACTAGCCAGACAAAGACAATTCAGTCAGTTTCGACGACCACAATATAAAGGCGATGCTCACCAGAACCACCCAGTACGCTCATCGTAATCGGCTGCCCCAGCAATGCCTTGTGAATCACCCGGTGCACCCGCCCTCCGCTCCCGAGGTGTAAGCGACTCTGAGCGAGCGTCGTCGCGCTGTACTTTTCCGCAATGTCATCCTCAGGCCCAAACACGGGGCAGAAAGGGAATGGGTTGCTCGAGGTATTCTTCTCCGAAGCGTTGGCCGTGAAATAGCTGGCAGAGTGAAAGTAGTTAATCGGTACCAGTCCAGCAGTGTTGATTTGGTGTGGTTGCCGGTGATATGGGATGATTTGGCGGGATATGACCACGAGGGACACCAAGCCGAATAAGATGAGCCATATTCGATTGGGCACGCCAAATGTACGTCGGTGCCATCGTGAGCGTATCGGTTCAACGTCCATTGTGGTGAGGCGGTGCTGCGACGGAATGGAAATACTACAGCGGGCGAGTCCTCTGGCCAAGCGTGAACGTCGTCGTTGCATGTGCCACACGGGTACCGAATTTCAAGGCGAAACACCTCGTGTGTTGGTTGCGAAGTTGGTCAAGATAAAGACCTTCTATCGGCTCAAACGCGGCCTCGGCGACGGTCAAGGCTGGCGCGTAAATAACATTGTCTGACATGGCTCCACTTCCATTAACTTCGGAACCAACAAAAAAAAGCTAACAACAGCGGACCAATCGGCAAAGATTGTGTACATAACACACGCTCCAGGATCCTGCCTCCACCAAAGCCAAAAAACAGTTTAGCAGACAAAATGTATGGACTCTGTGGGAGTTGAACCCACGACCTCATGCAGTCATCCTTGCGAAGCATGCGCGCTACCAACTGTGCCAAAAGCCCAGCGTTTTTGCTCCTCTGAAACAATATAGACATTTGGGATGACTCGGAGTATCCAAGAACATAGCCGCCATAGATTCGAACAACTACTAGACAAAGACAGAGATCTAAGCAAAGCCTCCACCAACCACGATCACTCATAGTCCATCCATCATCCTTTCGTGCTTCACCGTCACCGCCCCCGCCTTCTGCGAGCGGTTGGGCATCGACTCCCATATAGGATCCACGTCGGGACCATCGATATCACCTGCCCCATCCCAGCCCCAACACCATACTTGAAGCGCAGTCAGTCTTTGAGCGGTGCATGGACACGTGGGCACACTCACCGTGCGACGGTCCCGGCACAAACTCTATGTCCTGGCTTTCCTCCGGAGTGAAAAGCCTGTCGTGGGGCCCGAACCACGAACGATCTTGAGGATCTGTACGTGGGTTATCAGGGAGACCCCCGAGACGGACGTATCCCCGTATAGCACTTAGATTTCGTCTTTGAGGATGTATAACGTCAAACACTTTCTGTACGTCCAGAACTCGATGAGTGATCTCAACTATGCAGTTTGAGTTCTGTGTGTACCTTGTCATATGCCAGCTTCACTCTAGGCACCATGAGTATTCGACCGTAACCAGCCTCCCAGTAGTCATTACAGATAAGACTGCACTCGGACGCCGAGCACTCGCTCTCCCCAATTTTCGCCATACGGAAGCGGACATATGGTGGAGTATAGAATGGTGCGGGATCCAGCACTGCAACACCATTCCAGCATGCCTGCACTTGTACGGGGAGGTGCAACTGGAAACGCTCAGAGGAGTGTGGATCATGGAAGATGGCCTCAAAGGGTGCATTTTCCAATGCTGTGCCGTTGATATCACGGGACACCCAATTGTCATAAAAGACCGGCGAATTCTAGGTATCACCTCAGTCAGACAACACGACAGGGAAACGATCAAGTAACGTACGAGTTCTTGATGATACATGTAATCTGCAGCGCAAGTGATACCTGCATTGTGTCTCCTACTTTGCCAGATGAGTTCGAGTAGGTCGTCCACACAGGGTAGGATATCGTTCATGAAGACAATGGTATCAAAATATTCGTTGTGCGAGTCTCTGAGTTCGTATAGTGGGTTGAACGCTTGGTTGCGAACCTCTGCAAGGTATTCGATGCGATGATTGAATGCGCCTCTCGTCCTGGTCGACGTCCGAATCGTCACCCTCAACCCAACGCTCTTGGTGAGCGCGTCGAAGATGCGAAGCAACGCCTTGGTCTGGTCCGACGACCCATTTTCATATATGGAGACATACACATTATGGTATCCTAGTATCGCCGAGACCCGAAAGAGTGTGGCGAATAGATCTGGGATGATCTCGAACGAATTATACAAGTTGATGGCGAAGAAGTACTTGTGTTCTTTTGTTGGGGCAAGATGGACGTGTTGGGAGTCACCGAAGCTACCAAAGTCACCAAAGTCACCAAAGTCGAGCGACGACAACCAGGACGCTTGCGACGTAAGTCTGAGCCCTACAAGTGACTCGTAGCGCTCTCGAACTTGTTGTACGTATAGAGGTTGGGAGTTGCGCGTGCATTCTGATGTGTGGTGAGGTGAGAGTGTGGAGAGAAGTTCAAGCACCCGACGACGTTGTTCGATGGTTGGTAGCGTGAGTTGTTTGCGTGCGGAAACATATACAGGTCTGAATGCCCAAGACGGAGCGAGAAACTGGTTGAAGGTGAGGTAGCCGAATAGACATCACATCAAGCTGGGAACGTACGCTGGAGGGCAATGAGCGACCTATGAGCAACCCGAGTACTAATCCCACTAGGAGTGCCAGGGGCGTCGGTACTCGTCTCAGCTGCGCCCAAAATGTCTTGCCATTCATCGAGTCGCCCACCATAGGACAAAGCAGCAGACGTTTGATCGGAGATTCGGTTCAAATTTTCAAATTCCCTGGTTTGGCTGTGTGACGTGTCCGAACAGACAATTTACGGGTTTGGGGGAAAGGAAAGAGCAAGTCACAAAGTGAGAAAGTCTTCTAGCTCGCAGATTACAGGACAGCTGATAGCCGACTATGGACAACTTTGTTCAACCTTAAGACGTCGCTCACCATCGCGCCAAGCGCTGCGGCGTTGGAACGGACACGAGCTCGCGATAGCGTCGGATGTTTCGTCGGATCGTATTCGCCACAACAATTGATCATAATCGTTCTGACAAGAACGTCCAAGTGGTTCTCATTCCCCAAAAGGCGAATCGCATGAAATCGAAGTACAAGGGATGATCTTCGCACTCGGAAAGAACGACAAGATGGTGTTCGAATGGGAAGCAGTGCTTTGCAGAGGATAAGTGGCGCTCGAAGGCAACTCACTGTTAAGGAAAATATTAAAAGAGTAGTATTGAGTAGATCTATTGGTGGAGCAAATGGTGTTAGCTTAACCACAACCACAAGTTCCAATGTTTGCGCTGGTGAAGCATGGGGCAGCGCAGTCTCAAAAGACAAGTCGTGCCGTCAGTGGCAGCCTGGAGACAAAGAATGATGATGGAAACGCACTAGAGCTGTAATTTGAGTGGCAAAAGTAGAAGAGACACCAGTAAAACAAAGACGGGAACTGCGAGGCGCACTATGACGACTCGATGAAAAGTGCAACCTCATAGGGCAACAACCAAGTGGGTAACGAGGTTTCCTGCCAACTCCCTAAAGGACCTCCTGTTGAGGAGAGCCACTAGTCATCTTACTCGTGGCATGTGCACCCAATCGGTGTGCATGATTCTCTATAGGGATGAGTGAGAATCAAAGAACCTACTGTATATATTCAGCAAGGGACAAACCAGCGAAATCGAGATGGCTTTCCACTCGATCACTGAAGTCCACTTCCAAAGGCGTAAGTGAGCATCGGTAATTGCCGAGAAACTGTATCGTTGCTTTCCAGCCACGAACCTTATTCTTTACCGCTGCCACCACTACCAAAGTGAGGACTAGACATCGCAGTCTATCCAATTATCCGACATCGACATCTTCAAGACATGGTATGTAACTCGGCCTCGTTTATTCCAATCCTCACATGTTACACAGGCCCGAACAAAAAAAGGCGACAAAGTTCGTCTATGATATGTTGTTGAGCGATCCATTGCACTGACCGTGATGCCACTTCGTCCAGACCGGCAAGCGCTCTGCCCTTCAAGACGTCGTGACGCGCGAGTATACGATCCACTTGCACAAGCGCGTGCATGGTCGCTCATTCAAAAAGCGTGCCCCATGGGCCGTCAAATGCGTGGCCGAGTTCGCCAGGAAATCAATGGGCACCAAGGACGTTCGGATCGACCCCAAGCTTAACCAGGCAGTGTGGGCACAAGGCATCAAAACTGTTCCGCATCGGATACGCGTCAAGTTGGAGCGTGAGTGTCTACTGTGTAGTCCCTGTTTGTTCGCCTTACGCATCTTCCAGGCAAACGTAACGACGAGGAGAATGCAAAAGAGAAGCTCTATACGTATGTTAGCCATGTTGAGGTCACCTCTTTCAAGGCAGGCTTCTCTTTCCCTACCCATGCAATTTCGTTTCCTAATCTTCTACCATCAGGGCCTCCAAACAACTGTCGTCGACGCAGAGTAAAGGGACGCTCGGTGGAGAATTTCCTTTGCATTCATGTTCATGTACTCAGCTCCATCATCATGCATCGCGCATGTCTATGTTATATGTCGCGAAAACAAGACCAACCCAAACTCGACTTGATCTCTGACTTGAGTTCTATCCCTTCGTTGACCTAGCTACTCGACCATTCAAATCTTCTGAAGCAGGCAAGTAGCCTTTTAACCTAAACGAATCTTCAACGAGGGAAAGTCACCACTCTTCTTCACTTCTGCCCAAGAACCGAAACCAAAGGCTGGAGGTATTTGATTCCATGCCCTGTCCATTTCTGCGTCTCGCCTCGTTTTCAAGCCTGATATGCAACTCTTGCAAAACAAATTGTCCCACTGAGACCGCCAGTAACAGAATGGCGGTACAACGTTGATCTCTTCCGACCATAGCCGATGTATGTTATGTGTGCAACCCGGTACCATGCAGTTGGGCGACCTGCTCAAGGTTTTTGCCAGCCGTACCCGATAATTTTCGAGCACATCTTTCATCCGGATAGATGACCGCAGATTGGCGGAGGACAATGAACAAGTTGAACCCATGAACTGGTAACCATCGGCGATGATTTCCAAGGGACAGGTAGCGAAGCATTGATACATTGCAAGCGGGAGAGGCGCTTTCATGCCCATTTCTTGCAAAAGGTTTAGGACCTGGAAGTTGTGTGGATCGCCATCACAAATTCCCGGGAATAGCTTCGAGGCAAGGGGTAGCGTCGCAAAGGCTGCGCTGGTGATGGACGTGGGTTCCGTGTCACAGCACAGCTTTGCTTTTGCTTCCTTGACAAATGCTGGGATCGCGTACTTTTCTCCTAGGTGCAGGAATGCAGAAACGACGGAAATGGGCATTTTCTCATAGTATAGCTTGGGATAGCTACGACGCGCAGGGTCAATGACGTGTCAGTGTAGGGACGTACAACGGACCTTCTGTCGTACATGGCTTTCAGCATGATCTGAACGTCTCTAGCCGCGTCGTAGAGGTGTACGACGGGACAGAGTTCGACAAACTCTCTCTCTACGTCACTGGAATGCGGGCAATCAAACATGTCTTTGAAGACCTGGGAATGGGCACTCAAGACGCTACGATGAACGCGAAAGTAGTTTCCTCCAGCAGTGAGGACGATGTTTCCGTCATCTTTCCATGGGTCATCGCGATTCACTGTTACCTGAGTGACGGGAGCTGGTGTAGGCATGGTGGGACGTTCCAATGGTGTTGAAGCGAGTTAGGAGCATGGTCCCCTATCTGAGTTCCTAAGGCAAGATACATTGCAAGATCGTACACTGATCACAAGAGACAAACTCATCTAGTTAATACATCCGCGAAGGAAAGTCGTCGTTGCTCTTTGCTACATCCATCCAAGAATCAAAACCAAACGCCGTCGGTATC